ACTTCCACCAGCTAATGGCTGAATCTTCTTTTCAGCACCTGTCCCCTGGGGAACCTGTTTGGATACAGGGTTCAGCATCTGCTCCAGCCTTGCCATCTGGCTGGAGGGGGTGGGGATGGCTCCTGGGGTTTTTGGTGGGGTGAAGCAAGGAGCCTTCCTCACTAAAAAAATGCTGAAGAAATTTCAGCAAAGTTCTCCTTGGGGGTAAAGTCAACTCCCTCCTTTAAAGGAGATTGAAGGGAGCTGTGAAACCATGAGCTGGGCATGCAGTGGCATCCTGCTCCTTGGGCCAGAGCCAGCCCCAGATCAGGGACTCTGCAAGGAACCACCCTCACTCTGCCTGCTAAATCTTGTTTCACCTCAGCACAATTACAGTGACAAACAGCAACCCAGACTCCTCACATCTTTTGTCTTAAACCTAACTGGACATTTCAAGTAGGTCTCAGACAGATGAGGAGAATAAACTCTTCATCCCAAACAACTTTTGGGGGTATTTCATGCATTGCAATTTGTAAATACTTAAAAACCACAAATGCTGGTGTTTTTCTCTAGCAATGGACATCCAAACCTTTCCACCAGAGGGAGGGACAAACCACTTCCCACTCCCCCTCTTCAGACAGCTGGTTTCAACTCAAAAATTGTGGTTTTTCCACAACATCCTGCTGGGAGCTCATGCCAACCTGCATGCTCATGGTATCCCTGATCCTTCCAATTTTTCATTTTCTGGTTTTTTATGTGTAACTTCACATTTGGCTTGTTAAAGTGCATTTCTGTTTCTTTTTCAAGTTATGCTCCTGTCCCATCCACATAGGATTGTTTTGCTAATCTTACATCATTCTCGCAATGATTTGCAGTGTATTTTGTATTTATTTCAAAACTATAAATGTATCAAATAGAGTCTGCTAGTGGTATCAGTAGAAATCCAGTAGAAATTGGCCCTTTAAATAATCACTCTTCACTTATCACCTTTTAACTGAGAATTGCAATTTAGCCAGTCCTCAATCCCTTCAGTGTGTGCTCAGGATCATAGCCTACTATGATATTTTAAAGCAAAGAAAGGTACTTATTTTGTACTGTTTCCCTAGCCAAACCAGAGAACTTCTCAAACAATCACATTTGTTTGACAATTTTACACCAAAATATGTTGACTAGCATGTTTCATTTTGTAGTTTCATATTTTAATCCCATTTCAGCTTTAAAAAAAAGATTAATAGAAATAGTTATTTCCCAACTTGGCACATCAGTACAATATTTCTGTGCATACTTTTTTTTCCTGTTGCCATCTTTGATTTAGCAGAAGTAGTTCCACAATAACTTTGGGTGCTGATGGTTCATCCACTCATTCCTGTCCAAACTCCCTTTGCATCTGTAGGGCTGGTTAAGTACCTTCATGTGCAAGTATTTTTTTTTTCCCAAATCCCGGGTTGACATTTGGAATGCTGTTGATGCAGGAATATGCTCTGCATAGCTGGAGTTAATTTGGCTGCTGTCAAATCTGTTCCAGCACAGAACAGCTGATAGCAGCCTTTATCACTTACTCTCTTTGGGTTTTTGGTTTTGGTTGTTTTTTTGTTTTGTTTTGGTTTTTTTAAATATGTAGATGGCATAAAAATTTATGCACAATGCTTCAGCAACATCTGGTAAATGCATCCAAACGTGGTGATCTTTGATAGCTGTGCTGTCTTTACATGTGATTTCTGGCTTTTCACTGACAGTAGAGAGACTGGTATCCCAGAAAGGCACACAGGCCAAGCAGTTCCACAGTCAGCTCCAAGGAGCACTTTACTTTATTAAAGCTGACAAACACGGTCTTTGTTATTGCTCCAGCTTTCCAGGGAAAGTACACATGACTGCAAACCCCAAGACAGACAGTCTAGGAGAGCATGTTTATCTTCAGGAGTAATTGAGACCGATTTGCATCCAATATTTGAGGCCTGTGCAATACCACATTGCCCTTTCTGACATAATTTGAGAGGCTCTGCTCTCCCACAGCAGCCTGAGGTTGTCCATAAGCATTCCTACACAACAGAGATCAGTTCTGGGCAGCTAATCCCTGCTGCAGCACGTACGCTTCTTTTTGTTCTCTTCTGAGACCAAGAATTTGATGAGGCTTATCTGGCTAAAGGACGTACTTCTTTCCAATATTAACTCTTGTGATTTGAAATTTGACTTCAAAATTAAATTTTTCTACCAACTCATCTGGTTGCATCTTGCGAGATATTGATTCATGTCCCCTTTGTTTGCTAAATAGATTTGGCCAAAGTCCTCACTAATTGCTGCGCTGTCATGGGTGTGAAGTCTTTTTTGTCCTGCTAATACTGTTCAAGGAAGTGGGTATATTTATTTAATCAAAACTTCAGCATTAAGGATGCCACAGCTCACCAGTCCCTTGTAATTTGAAGTCACTTGCCACCTCTTAGGCTGCTCCACTCAAACTGCTGGTGTGCCAGTTTCCGTCCAGCTTTACCATTTCATCTCTCTCTAACACTGAACCACTCACAGCAAATGCAATGTTTGGATTTGTGATAAATTCTGTTTTAACCTCATAGACGTTTCCTCTTAAATTTGACTTCCTGTGGACATGAAATGTCCATCTTGACTGAGTCCTGCATTTATTGTTTTCTGTGAGTCATTTATGCAATTAATGCTGCTGTGAAGCTAGCATTTGCTATTACCCCTGGGCAAGTACAAACGTCCTGGACAATGCCAACATTCCTGGACATACAAGGTTTGCTTTTGCAGAGTACTCAGGGTGGACAATTGCTTACACATTCTTCTGCACAACTTTTTTTTTTGTCCTCCTCACTTCTGTACCCAAACAGGAGCAGCTCTGGCACGAGGCACAGCACCTTTGCTGAGGATGGCTCCCAGCCCATTGTGCTTGTCTTTGCAGCGTTTCACATCTGTACCTCCGACACAGAGCATCATGCACAACCAGCACGTCACCCCTGCCCTTTGAAGTACTTATTTTTATTTTTAGAAAAGATACATTCTGTTTCATAAGTTGTTGGATCAGCTTAGCGCCCTGGCTGGGGGCAGGATTGCTTTGCTCCTTTGATACAAAGAGATTTGAGCTTGTTATCTGTGCTGTGACACAAAAGCAGGGAAAAAAACTTTGTTGCAGCATTTTGTAATGGTATTGAATATACAGTATTTCACTTTTTTTAAACATTTTGTGCATCATCTAGAATTGGAGTATGACTTCAGATCTGGGCAACTCATAAAAGAACAGCATATGACATCATGTCCCAAAATTATGCCACATTGCTACTTTGGTCATCTGGGCCCATATGTTTCCTGTGCTTACTTAGCAAGGCAGACATTCACTGCTGCTTCACAGTTTAGTTTCATAAATTGGTTGCTCATTTTCACACTTGTAATAAGAAAAAGCTACATAGTGTAAATAATGATTTTTAGCATAATGTAAAAAAAAAACCAACAAAAAAACACAAACCCCAAAACAACAACAAACCAGTGGCATGAGAAACTGAGAAACCCATATTTTAGTCCAGTGATAATCATGGAAAAAATCACTGATTTGGGAAAATTATATACAAAAGCAAGTCTGTTATGCTGTTCCATATATGCAAAGACAGTCTAGAGAAGCCCAGATTTCCTGAAACTGTTCAACTTAACTGTAAAGAGATAGTGCACTTTATCAACTTTCTAAATTGTATCACTTTTAAATTTTCTTATTTTCTGTATTGCATTTCTGCTTTTCTCTTTGCTATGTGCCTACATTTCAGAGTCATTCCAGGATGAGGTGTTCGTGAAAATTTTTTTTTGATGCTTTTATCACACTGTTCAATAAATTCCTCCCAAAATTTCAAGTACATCGCTGCATGCCACCCCCCAAATGAAGCATGACAGTGAACGACTGTATAGCGCCAATTAAATTCTACAACTCACCAACTCAGAAATAGCATTGCTCATTTTATCGTGACTACTCATGGACGTGAAATTACTTCAGTGCTCAAATGCTTGTAGGATGATGCGACTTACAGAGGACCAAGTTAAACAGCTCAGTCATGACTCTGTGACGAGCCAAGGCCTCCAGAATCATTGAATCATGGAATTGTCACGGCTGGAAGAGACCTTCAGGATCATCCCGTCCAGCCACCAACCCAGCACTGCGTCTGTAACCCTAACCCAGTAACCCACATCACCCAGCACCAGTTTCAGATGCCTCTTGAACCTATTCCATTGACTGCCCATCCTGTCGGTGAACATTTTCTCTAACATCTAATCTGAGCCTCCCCTGTCTCATCTTAAGGCCATTTCTTGGGATCCTCTGCCGGCACAGCAGCAGAGACGGGCCCTGCCTGGCTGTGCTCTCCTCCCAGGGAGCCAGAGAGCCATGAGGCCTCTCCTGAGCCTCCTTCTCTCCAGGCTGAACACCCCAGCTCCCTCGGCTGCTCCTCACAAGACGCATTTCCTACACCCTTCACGAGCGACAGCTCCGTTTATACTGATTTTCTGACAAAGTATCTTCAGGATTTTTGTTCTCCTCTTTTTCCCCACCACCCTAAACCCAGCACGGCAGCACCCCATGCCCATGACAAAGCAAACCCATGTCCCCACGCACCCCTCCTTCCTCGCCGAGCCACACGAGCCTTTCCGAAAACGGGGCGCGGATGCGGGAGGGATTTTCAAGGGAGGGATTTTCGCTACAACAACGAACGGGTCCCCTCACAACGTTGGCGCGGCCGAGGAGTTCGGTTCGGAGCGGAGCGGGCGGTGCCGTTCGAGCGGGGCCGCTCGAGCGGGGCGCGGCTCCTGAGGCGGCTTGTGCGGGCCAAGACCGCCTGTCCCGCGTCTCCCCGGCTCCCTGCCCGGCCGCATTTCCCCGGCCGCCGGTACCCGAGCGCCCCGAGTGCATTTCCCCGTGTGCCGGTGCCCGGCCGCGCCCCGAGCGCGTCTCGGCGCTGCCGGCGGGCCGGACTGCATCTCCCGCGGCGCCCCGCGGCGGGGCGGGGCGGGCCGTGCGGCGGAAGGGGCGCCGCTCCCGTCGGCGGCGGGGGCAGCTCTATCCGGGCTCTTGGCGCTCTCCCTTCCTTTCGCGCCGGCGGCCGCTGGAGGCGGCGGGTCCATGTGCGCTCGGCGCGGCCCCGGCCCCTGCCCTCCGCGCTGCCCCCGCCATGGACCCCAGCGGCATCATCGAGGCCCTGCGGGGCACCATGGACCCGGCGCTGCGCGAAGCCGCCGAACGACAGCTCAACGAGGTGAGGGCGCCGCCGGGCCTGGGCCGGGGCCGCGGCGCTGGGGAGCGGGGACGAGGCCGGCCCGTGGGAGGGGGAGCGGGGCGGCGGCGCAGAGGGTGCCCCGGCTCCTCG